CTACCAGTACTCCTCGCTAAGAGGCGGTACCTCCGAAGAAAAAACGACAAACAGGCCTCGCCTTAAAGCGGTATCCCTTCGCACGAAAAGCGGAGACTCCCAATATGCCCAAAAAATACGTATTCACTAACACAACTTCGTCGCTATAAGCGGTATCTCCTCGCGTAGAAATATCGACTAACGTTCCTCGCAATAAAGCGGTATCTCCTAGTTTGTGAAGCGAAAAACTTCCCAATCTTAAAAATATACACACATCTTACCACCAACATTTCTCGCTATAGAAAAGCGGTATCTCCTCGCTAACAAAGCGGAAACCTCAAGCACTCACTTTCCTTTTCCTTCCCAAACTTAATTTATATAATATGTTTATAATTTTGTTTGTTTAACGAGCGAGCACAGGGAAGACAAATAAAGGTCCTATAATTTATGCCCTAAGGTGTAAACTTCTTGCAATAAAGCGTGAAAACCCGATTGATGACCTTAGCACGCAACTGAAAGCGGTAACTAACGAAACAATAAAAGGAAAACTTCTTATGCTACAAATTAAACAGCAAACTCTTGCCGCGAAGCGAAAATCCTAAACACACGTGAAGGCGTTACATACGACTAATCTCCCACGTCATAGGGCGGAATAACCTCGCTTACAAAGCGGCAAAAACGTTAGCATATGGAAAAATAACACCCGAGTAAGCACGTGGCAACCAGCAAGCAAAACGGAGAACTACATTCGGAAGTATAGAAAATAGCTAACAGAAAATACGTAAGCACGTGGCTAAGAAACGAACGGCTCGCAGGGCTCGGCTGACTGAAACAAAAGAAAAACAAAAAATACCTCAGGCTCAACCACTGGTGGCGGAGCAGCTTCAACAGCACCAGCTGGCTCTTCAACAGCCTCGTCAGGAACAGGAGCAGGCCGAGTAGGAAGGGCAGCCATGACATGAAAGGCTGGTGCTGGTCGACGGTGGTTTGCAGCGACAGAAGCTTCCCTCACCCCTTCACCGGAACGCGGGCAAAATGACAACGATCGAGGCAAAACACGAGAATTTAAGCAAAGAGACGGCAAAGCATCATACCTGCCCCGAAGACGCAGAGCACGGCGGAATCTGAAGGATATGGCTCAAATTCCGTGATGCGCTAATTATGTATGTAGTGAGAATAGTAGCAATGTCTTCTTTTTACGAACAAAAAGATAATGAATGCTAAAAATCCCGTGAAATTTGATGCAGTTTTGAGGGAATATGACGCATTCGTCTTGTCTATATTTATGTTTGGGGGCTAAACTAAACTTTAGGTATAAACTACTTCTTCATTTTCCATTTGCCACCCGAGTACAAGAGCAGTTGGCACTGTGACCATACTCCATTCATCCAGAGAGTTGAAAATGACATTCCAAAACAACACGAGACAAGACAAGAATTCTATTTATACCACACACAGAAGAAAAGACATGAAATAAAGACAATATAACTTATGTAAGGTACAAGCCACCTAGAAAATAACTATAAAGCTAATCTAGCCAGGAAGTAACTTCATTCGTCATCTACTGTTATTTATGTTCTTGTTATGTACAGTGGGACAGCATTGTTCAGAAAATGTAGGATTACCTGGCAATAACGTTAAGGGATGTTTGATACTTACCCTCAGGTGGGGTAAAGAGTTTAAATTCACTGAAAGGCCTGTGAAGTACTTACACCCGCCGGGAATGTCAACCACGTTAAAAGATATAAAGTATCATGATATCCCACTTCCCAGTTCTTTCCATCTTTCAAACACATTTGGCGAGGTAACACCACACAGTAAGAGGACTTGAAATTGGTTA